ACAGTGGTGTCACAGGTTCGGTATGTTTTCGATAGGGGGGGGGGTAATTGGTTACGTCGCAATGTTGGAAATATTTCTGTTTAAAACCATGAAGGCAAGCCAGTGGATATCACACAAGCAACGTGCAAACTTTTCAGTCAATTCATTATGCAGAAAGTGAAAGTAAAAATGGAATGACGGAGCTTTCGACATCTGACGCCGCATATTCTCTCAGAGATGACGAGAGACGAATCTACTTAAACATATGCTGATAACGATATATTATAGCTAACTGTTTTCATTTATTCCTTTAATATTTCTCTTGTGGCCTGTACATAGTGAAAAAAAATGAGAAGAAACGCATTTCGTGTTAAACAGGTTGTTTTTGAAAGTCGGTGCTTGAAATAAAAGCTTTTATTTCATAAATTTTTATTGATGACTGCAGTGTAAATATTTTTACGTGGTGCGTATTTTTTCCGCGCTCATGTTAACGGATTAAAGCGTTCACTGCACACGGTTGCGGTCCAGCAGCGGTCCACGAGCGGTGCGTCTGCAGCAGTGTGGAGATGGTTTCCACACCAAGTCTATTGCTGCGCTGCAAGCGCTGAATTAAAGTAACAGCGCATTGTTTGCAGTAAATAAGAACATGGATTGACACGAAAATGTAGTAATTACTCCATAAATGCATATTATTAAAGTCTACTGTGTTTCACAGTCAACACATATGGCTTTTTAGCTAGGTTTAAAGGGAAAGAGCACTTTTAGATAAACAAGGCAATAATAGACGGCACTCGTGGAGGTAGGAAAACAAAGTTCATTATTAACCGCAAGATTGCTTGTAATAAAGATTTCAATGCAAAAGGAAAGGCAGTAGAGTAGTTATAAATTATAAAAAGAAGGCTTTAAAAAGATCGGTATCGGTGATCGGTATCGGCAGATACTGCTTTCTGCGATCGGCGATCGGTGATCGGCCTCAAAAATCCTGATCGGAGCACCCCTAGTTTTTGACAATATCTCTGGAATTCGACGCACCCCAGCAAGGGGAGGTTATCGATGGGCAAACAGCACTTTGCCTGTTACGTCGTTTGGGCTGTCTTGTTGAGCGCGGGGACACTGAGAACATTATATTTCACACACTTTAAGCTCTTTTATTTTCCAAATGTATGCTAATAGGATTAATCTAACGAATCGTTCAGTTTGTAATGCGTACCGAACCGAAAGCCTCGTACCGAACGGTTCAATACGAATACGCGTATCGTTACACCCCTATTAATTAGTCATTTATTAATAGTTATTCACATTAATTGTATTTAATCTGCCAATACAGATAGTATATCATTGCTAACTCTGTGAGTTTATATATAGATCCATTTTGATGGCTGGAGTGAGGAGTATGATTATTGGCTAGATGCTGATAGCCCAGATCTGCACCCAGTAGGCTGGTGTCAGAAGACAGGTCATCCTCTACAACACCCCAACGGTAACATACTGTTCGACACATTTATATACAGTGTTTCCACACATGGCCCTACCAGACTCATAATCAAACTCGTAATTATAACTATATCAGGTCCCAGAGATTCTCCAGTGCCTCCAGGACAAGGCTGCCCAACCCCAGGATGCAGTGGAGTCGGACACATTAGAGGACCTCGGTATGGGACACATTACACGTAAGTTATACACATACTGTTGCACATACAACCCATAATGTTCATTCAAATGCAACTGAGTCTCTTTCCCATTTTTAGGGCGGTGAGCTGTCCATACTCGGATGTGAATTTGAATAAGGACGGGCTGGTGCCGGACAGACTGAACGGGGAGAGGCCGGTCACGCTCAGTGGACCTCCGCGGCACCGCCGTGCTGAAACGCTCACTCAGACGCACCCTCCCACACCCAGCGCCAGCACCCCTGAAGCCCCTGACACCACCACAGACGCCTGTCCACCAGCTCGCTCAGTGCGTGAGCACGTTGTGTGAGTGTCATGAGTTACTTACAGTTTTACTTCTCTCTCCCTCTCACACACACACACACACTCTCACTCCTCATCTCTTTCTCATTCCTCCTGTACTTCAGGTCTGGCAGCGCTCCCAAATGTGTCAAGCCACCTCAAGTGAAGCAGGAAGGTGACGGGAAAGGTACACATTGATCAGATTTTGTGATATTTTGGCTTAATTTGCATTTATGGATAATCCATAAGCTCTGAGAATGTTGCACATGAAGTCATGCTCATCTTTTTTGCCTGTATGTGTTAAGTTATTACCTTATTATATTAACTTATATACAATAATTTGAATACACCTCTTCTATAAGCATTTCTTAATTCAAATTAGTTTGATATTTATGGTGGGTATGAAGTCAAACTTACAATATCATAATGAAGAAAAAAGCTTAATTAAAAGAACAAAATTCTTCAAAAGACATTTAGTAGTATCACAGTCTATTATTATTTCTTAGAGCAAAACTGCTTTTCTCCCTTTTGTCCACCAAATCAGTGTCATGTGGTGCAACTAAGATAACCAGAAAAAACATAAAATTGGAAACTCATAATATTTTAAAATTATATATATAATATTACTTTTTTGCAGATATTAAGATGAATATGTGTACACTCATTTCAAATAAGAATCAAGACATTTAAACACCATATGAAACAGAGAAGAATACAAAAGTACATTTCTAAGAACTTGCCAAATGTATTTTCAACTAGTAACATTTTCTTTGTTGTGGACACGTTTGCAAACCATGTCACAAATAAAGTCTGTTTGTGTTGTAGATTCTCTTCAGCAGCTCCTGCATGAGTCTGTGTTTTGTGGATGGGAGCCACCGAGGTTTCATCTGTGTTGGGAAAAGCATGGAAAACTCTTGCCTGAAGCTTTAGGCCTCACAGCTAAGAGAGTGGCCAAGTGGAACACAGAAGAGGTGACATTTAAGAATTCTGGAAGAGCTTTTAAAGAGGTCTTCTAAACGTATATATATTTTTATTGGGTCTCTTTTGTTGATGTTTTTCTTTCAGGTGGCAAGTTTTGTAAGAGGGCTGCCTGGCTGCAGAGAGCATGCTGCCACCTTTAGGAAAGAGGTAAATGAAAAAAAATGTACACTACCATTCCAAAGTTTTGCGTCTGTAAGATTTTTTAAATGTTTCTGAAAGAAGTTTCTTATACTCAATAAGGCTGTTAAAACAAAAAAACAGTAATATTGTCAAATTCTTGTTACAGTTCAAGATTATGGTTTTATATTTTAATGTATTTCAAAATGTAATTTATTCCTGTGATGGCAAAGCTGAATTTTCATCTCCAGTCTTCAGTGTCACATTATCAGAATTCATCAATGAGGATTTAGTACACAAGAAGCATTTCCTCTTATCAACGTTAAAAAGAAGTTGTGCTGTTTATTTAACCATGATACCTTTTTTCAGAATTCTTTGAACATAGAATTTTTAATAACAATTTTAATGTCTTCAGTGTCACTTTTGATCGATTTATTGCATCTTTGCTGAATAAAAGTGTTAATTTCTTTAAAAAAATCTTACTTGACCCCAAACTTTTGAATGGTAGTGTATGTACGACTCATTTAGCACTAACCTGTGAGTGTTCTTAGACAAAGTGAATATGTACTGTATTTAAGATAATTGCTTTACTTTTCCCTACAGCAAATCGATGGCGAGGCCTTCCTGCTCCTTACTCAGTCAGACATTGTTAAGATTCTGAGCATCAAGTTGGGACCCGCTCTTAAAATTTATAATTCAATCCTCATGCTGAAGAGCGCAGATGAGGAGTAGACAACTCACAGCAACTGCTGCTCCATCAAACAACATGTCTCGCCCCCACCGATGTGTCCAGCAGACACAAATGTTCAATCATTGGTCTCCTTGTGATTGATGGATATTGACAGAATCAGCCAATTCAACAAACTTTGTGATCAGAAATATCATAGCTCCTAAAGGCTGATATAGATTTGATGTCTCCCTTTCAGACTCTGCACTCGCTCTAAATTAGGACTGATATTCTCTTTTGAAATCAATCATTTGATTCATATTGGACTCTGGGAGGGGGGAGTACACTACACTGAGGCACCTTAAATTGTTGAAAGCTTAAACTGGATTCTTTCATTGTTGATATTTATGTTTTTATGGTTGCTAAAATGACGGCTAATTGACGATATCAAATAACGATTGAAATGCACGACAGTGGAGCTTTTACTTGAAATGTAATTTGTTTTTGTAAAAATGCAAAAAGACCTTTGTTTGTAATTGAACACACATCCTAAATAATCCAAATGAGCCTGTTTGAGACCACTAGAGGGCAGCAGGATTGTGTGTGTGTGTGTGTGTGTGTGTGTGTGTGTGTGTGAGAGAGAGAGAGTGAGTGTGAAAGACTTGCAAGCAGGTGTGAGTGAAAAAAAAAAGTATAAATGTGTGCTTGCATCTAATGTCAGGGAATTCTTGCTCTGGGCAAATCTGGAATTGAATGTCTCAGTTTGTATTTACTTCAGATGAAATATTTGATCTTGTAAAATGTATTTGTTAAATTGAAAAAATTGTATAGTGAATTGGACAGTGTGCTGACACCATAGACACTGCAAATAGAGTTAGGAATAGAAATGAGGGGTGAGAGTGTGTGTGTTTTAAGCCTCTGAGACCCTGACATTTTGCCTTGTACATGCATTCCTGAATACTAAGACATTGTGTTCTGTCATTCACCGAGCAAAAGCTTTTTGTACATCTCTGACCTGCTGTATAATACAGCTGTAATTCTCAACTCTGCTGCAACTGATTTTACATGTTGGAATCACTTTGTTTTCATGTACTGGTTTGGATTTGCAGTGCTTCTCAAAGTTGTCAGTATACGCACATGCATATGCAGGTTGCAATAGGTTCAGAATAATAGATCCCGTTACGGTTGGAAACTGGAGAAAAATTAGAAAATGGGGGTAAAAAAACTAAAACACTGAATAAATATAGATAATAGTCTGCAGATGCATTTGGATGGTGATGGAAAATTAAGATCTGGGGAATCCTCATCACAGTGGTTAGGGTCAAGGATGAGTTTATATCAGATTGTGATTGTTTTCTTTGGTTTATGTGTGTGTTTGTAGATTAAATGTCTCTCTAATCAGACTCTTTATGTGTGACTGATTGTGTGTTTGTGAGGTTTTTTTTTTTTTTTTTGGTCCAGTCTCAAATGGATGAATAGATAAGTTGGAGAATGAATACAGATTTCCAACATAGCTGTTTTGTTTATTTTTTGTTTTCTGTCATACAGAATACATAATTCAATCATATCCCACATGCTTTTCTTATACCAAACTGGAATTTTAAAACGTAACGCTTATGAAAAAGAGGTTCAACTGGTATGGATTTTCTCTTGTGTCTGTTTTATGCAATCAAACATACTGTGTTTGAGAGCAAAAATAATCAGATTGTAATTTAAAAAAATAAAAGATTGTTTTAACTTTTTAATTACAAAAATAAATGACCTGATAACAAAACTCTTTGCACTGTGAATGAATCTTTCTGGTTGTAGTTCTCACACTTTTCATTACACAAACATAAAAACTAAAAAACCATGAAACTTTTGCTTACATATTTGGCACATTGTGTAATAATATATGGTGTAGAGAGTTTTATCAATTATTTTAAGTAGACATTAATATTTTTTTATTACAATATAAATACTTTTGGTCTCAGACACTATTGGTTGCATAATAAAAAACAGAAGTAACTCCACATACTGGGCATATAGCCTACCCTACACTACAGAATCTCAAATATTGAACATTCATAAATGCCCAATCTGAAGTCATATGATATATTCTAATAACTTAATATAATACATAATAACAATCTGAGTCAGTCAGGAAAAGGCTTGAAATGGGCCTGGGTCCTCTGAGACTCTAAGAATAGGTTATTCTGCCCACCGTGGGACCCAGCGGGCTTGCACACATGTTCCCATGACCCTCTAACCACACTCTCTCTCCCTCGCTCACTCCCACGTCACTGGCCGGTTAAAGTAAACGCGCCTCGCCTCGAGCTCGCGATACACGCGTTTGGCTAAGGACGGAGACTGATGGATTAGCGCGTCCCCATCATCATGGGAGTTAGAGTAGAGTCGCGTATTTGAAACGGACCGTGAACCATGTGTCTCCGGTGGAGGAGAAGCTACTGAGGTGAGTTTAAGGGAGTTTAACTTTAGGTGGTGATGTGTGGACTTAATGTATTTCTACTGCACGATCTCTACGGGTATGAAAACAATTGTACTGAAAACCTGCCACTGTTACTGCTCTTGCGAAATATGTTTGTTTGACACCACAAAGTTTGCTACTGTAAATGTGCATTTTTTCCATGTTAAAACATTTTGCCAATCCCATTGTAATTGGGCAGCTTTAATTAAGCCATTTTCATGTTGATTGCAAAAGTGAAAGTGGCGCTATCATAACATTAGGCCTATTCTGTTTGTTTGAGAATCCAATTAGCCCAGTCTAGAAATATTGACTTAACCAGTTGCATGAGTTTAGGGGCAAACCTTACATTTTTTTCAAGTAATGTTAACCACTGACTAAATCTGAAACCGCTATTTTAAAAAACCATAGGAAATTATAGAGGGAACCTGGTGATCTCAATTGACCTTATATGTGACCCTGGAGCACAAAACCACTCATAAGTAGCATGGTATATTTGTAGCAATAGCCAACAATACATTGTATGATCAAAATTATTGATTTTTCTTTCATGCCAAAAATCATTAGGATATTAAGTAAAGATCATGTTCCATGAAGATATTTGGTAAATTTCCTAACGTAAATATATGCAATAGTATACATTGCTAAGAACTTCATTTGGACAACTGTAATGGCGATTTCCTCAATATTTTGATTTTTTTTGCACCCTCAGATTCCACATTTTCAAATTGTTGTATCTAATGTATTGTTGTAATATAATATTTAACCAAATATTGTCCTATCCTAACAAACAATAGCCTACATCAATGGAAAGGTTATTTATTCAGCTTTCAGATGTATATATGATGTATAGAAATGATGATGTGGTCCAGGGTAACATATGAATAAACAGTTTAGTGGAAAAGAAAAATATCAAAATAGTGGTTATCGTTACACAAAATTATGTTGTTAGATTAAAATATGTTTATAAATACCATTCTAACATTTTTGCAGTGCCAATGCAGTGTCATTTACAGATCAGTGCTTATGGTTTAGAATTTGAGTTGGATTTGTTTGTATGTCCTGACTAGAAGCACTGGTAGTTAAAAATAATAATAATTACGGTGGCCGAGAGAGCTCAACGCGCTGGAAATGAAAAAAAAAAACACCTGCAAATTAAGAAAACATATTCATCAATTTGGCATCACACGCGCTGCAAATGCTCACAACTCAAACAAAAACAGAAACACGCTGCAAATATAAATATATAACATAGTTAATTTTAATTTTGTTGAGGTAATATTGTTGTGGTTTGTGCTACTTGCACGTTTCTGTATATTTGATTGGGTTGTGAGTACTTGCAGCGCGTTTCTTTGTTTGTGTTGTGAGGATTTGCAGTGTGTTTTGTATTTGGTTGTGTTGTGAGTTTGCATTACATGTGCTGTCAAACTAATGAAGATGCTTTCTTAATTTGCTGGTGCTTTTTCTATTTGCATGTGTTTTCTGAAGTTGCAGCGCATTGAGCTCTCTCGGACACTGTAAATAATAATAAATTGTATCTTCTTAAGAAATTGGTTACAGCGATTTTGCATCCTGATATCTATTTTCTACAACAACTAAAAAAATGCTACCCATGATTTTAACACAAGATGTGTCAAGAACAACTGCAGAGGCAGACAAAGTACTTAACTCCATTACTTGAGTGAAAGTACAGATACTGCTGGTCAAATATTACTCCATTACAAGTGAAAGTTGTAAAGACAGATGTTTACTTAAGTAAAAGTACAGAAGTACTTGCTTTTAAAAGTACTTAAGTACCAAAAGTAAATTTCCTTTTTTATGTTGTACGTACTAGTACTTGCAAGGTAGGACATTTTTAGTGTAGGATGAAAAAAAAACATTGTTAATTGCAATTGTGTTTTTTATATACAAAGGTTAAAATAAGAAAACAGACAAAAGTAGACAGACTGCCTTATTGAGCAGAGATGAAACATCAGACAGCATTTGGAAGGAACTGGAAGTACAAAGAACTTAAAAAAAGGATTATACAAGGATTGTCATGGATTAGTTGTCTTGCCCACAAATAAATGCTTCTGAGAAACTAGGATTATTGTAATGATGCATGCTTTCAATATGCAAAAACTCTCAGTATTATCATTTAAAAAGACTATGTATGATAAATGTTCTATAAAATATTATTTTATATATATTTTAAATAATACATTTATCAAATAAAATGAAATTATAGTTGCAAGTATGGAGAGGAATTGGGTTATGTGAGAATAACCCACTCACTCTTTACTTTTTAACCAACTACAATTTATATTTAAATCTTCCTTTAGTATTTTGTACCTTTTCAGGGTGATTTTATTGAGTATTTGAAGTTCATTATCCCATTTTATGCTTTTTTTAGGAGAATGTCTGAGATAAATGCTCCCACAGAAAAAGTCTCTATAACAGCCCCGGAGTTGGAGACTCCGCCCTTAAGGCCAGATACAGGGCCTGTGATTGGTGGACTGCATTTGCGATCTGCACCAGGGGCTTGTTTGTTGTTTGCGGGTGTTTTGCTGATAGTAGGAATCGGCGTTGCTGTGGGGGGGTATTGGAACAATCAACCCCGCCGACAAACGCCACATCATGTTTCAACTGGACGCACCTCTTCAGAGAAACTGAAGCTGATTGGTCCTGTCATCATGGGGGTTGGGCTTTTTATCTTTATTTGTGCCAACACAATTCTCTATGAAAATCGTGACCGAGAACAACGTCATAAGCGAGACCAACATAAAGACAACCAGGAGATCCTACCACTCGTACAAACTCAAAGGAACAGTCATTCAAAACGGTTCTCACAAACAGAAACGAACACCAACACGCATACATTGGACTTGTCTGAACTCAACATCCATTGCTTAGAGGAAGTTGCCGGAATTCCCACCCTAAAGTGTTCTTCGCCATCCTCTGGTTCATGTAGCTCCAGTCAAGTGAACTTGGAAACCGGATCACCCCTCCGAGATCGCAGAAACATGGAAATATTGGCCTTGCCTGTCATTAAAGTCAATGACTGTCTGATTGGCTCCTCAGACCCAGTGCCTCCACCTCTCCCTGATCGGACATACCGGAACAAGATGGGAGTGGAAAATATAGCAAATGTGGAGCTAACACAAGTGAATCTTGCAGATTCATCTCTAATGATATTGAACAAAGAAGAGCCAAAGGATCGGTAGACTTTAACGCCTGCAGTCCACACTAAGGTCCACATAGTGAATATATTGAATATATTCAAGCCAAAAGATGTTAGGGTTGAGTATAGAACAGATTTCTCTATTTGATTCGATTCTGATTCATTTGGGTGTATTTCCGTTATAATGTCCAATTTGCTTACAGTTCTTTCTTTGCGAATGCTGTGATTATATACAGGTGCATCTCAATAAATTAGAATGTCGTGGAAAAGTTCATTTATTTCAGTAATTCAACTCAAATTGTGAAACCCGTGTATTAAATAAATTCAATGCACACAGACTGAAGTAGTTTAAGTCTTTGGTTCTTTTAATTGTGATGAATTTGGCTCACATTTAACAAAAACCCACCAATTCACTAGATGGATTCAAGCTAATCTTTTTGAACCCACTTATTTGCATGAATCAGCTTCACTGGTCACGCTGTATGTTTTTGATTCACCAAAAAGAACTGACTCATAAGAGTCATTTGTTCGTGAATGGCCACGTATGTCTGTTTATACAAGGAGTCATTTTATGTTGTCATATTGCTGTACACAGTCTTTTTTATTACATCACAGTATACAGAACTCCCATTTAGCTTAACCATTTAGGTTAACCCTTAGCTTAGGGTTTTCTGAGAGAAATAGTTGATATTCATGTAAGTGGATGAATACATAGAGATTTGTTTTTTTTAAGGTTTTGAATGAATCTTACTTTGTATTGTCACTTGATTCTGGTGTCTTTTTTATATAGTTGCTTTGTTTTGTTTGAATAATGGATTGTTACCTGACTTGTGAGAGTTGCATAAGGCTTTGTAGATTTTTGTTCATGTGAATTTTAAGTAATCAATTATATATGATCCTATTTTTTCATGTGGTGCCACCCACACAAGCCCAAAAGAATAGAGACTGCGCTATGTGTTATTGTGTTTGTAGTGCTGGTCTTTATAGTTCACATAAATGTCAGAGCAAAAATGAAAGGCGGCCACCTGTGATACACACATAAATAGACACATGTGCATGCATACAGCTTCTCCTTCTCCTGTCTTAACTGTTCTGCATCCAACATGTTCAAATTCTTAGAGACTGAAAGACAAGCTTTAAGCAGTCGCAGTCACGTGCAGTCATACAGTAGCAAGTAATCCTCTATTTTGATTAGTTTGGGTTAATCCTGAACTATGCTATTGCTGCAAAACCAGTACAGCTGTCTGATACCCAGCAAAAGTAATGTGGATTAAATTTGCTTTAACAGTTCACTATACACTAAGGAATGAGGGTTTGACTGGTCTAGTGAGCCCCTGCTGATGAGAGTTGTAACTACATTTTTTTCCTTAGTAATTTTGTCTTGTTTTACAGCTAAATATCTAAAAAAATAAAAAATCCTGAAAACAAGATAAATTAACTTATAAATTAAAAAGTAAAATAGTTTAAAATAAGATTTGTTTCCAGAGATTCTGAAATTAATTTTTCTTAAGTTCATTCTCAAAATAAACACACCTAAAATTTGGCAGTGCATATGACAGCTTTTATTCCTTTTGAATATAACTGAATTGGTGTAAGCAGTTAAAATAAACCAAATGTAAGCCTGAGATTAGATTTTTTTAGTCTGAAGGTCTACACAAATTAAGTGATGCTTTTGATATACTGTTGTGGACATGATTACCAGTGTATAAGGAAACGTCTACCATCAACAATGTTAAATTAGATCGATCAAATATAAGAAAAATGCAAAACAGAATTACATTCTACTGTATAAAACACGCAAAGCACATTTTTCAACATATTCACATCCTTGAATGTTTCAGCAGGGATTATATGTAAGTGCATAGAAATCATAAGTTTAAGCTGTTAGAATTCACACATATATTATCTCTTGAGAGCGAAACAAGACTGTTTTTCCATCTTCTTCAATCTGCAAAAGGAGATTTTACAGTCAGTATGGGTTTACAGACTCTTTTCTTTAGCTTAAACACATTCCTTGGAATAGTAATCGGTGGAATAATAAAGCTGTATGATATTGGACGCATTCCTAAGTTACTCTCACATCTAGATACTGTAGATTAGTGATTCTCAACCTTTTCAACACCAAGGCCCCCCTTTGTCCAAGACAATATTCAAAGGCCCTCCAATCTACTGTAAGCTGATATGTAAGCCTGTACTTCTATTATAACTAAATAAACTCAAAATATAATATCAGTTTAATGTGGTACATCTCTACTTTTAGTGTTTTTAACATTTTAGTTAGGATTCTGTTAATTTGACTAAACTCTAAATAAATGTAAGACCTATTGGGGCTCCCTGGTTGAGAACCACTGATGTAGATTGTTTGTTAATGTATGTAACTTACTAAGCCCATTCTCACGAGTATCTCTTCGTTGGCATGTGGGAACTGAGCTTTGGAAGTAGGCGAGTATGATGAGAGACGTCTGTCCCATTCAGTGGGTCCGAAATCTTGCTTGACCTCCATAAAGCCACGCTTAAGTTGAGAAATGCTGGCATAGTGCTTCAAAATCATCTCATGGGACACATCAAAATCCTAAAAAGAGTATATATTGGAAGGATTGATTAGACTAGACAAGCCTTCTTAAATCCTTATCGCAAGAACCAATATACATTTCATACACCTCCAGCATCAAAATGCTGTGACGAATATAGATGCTCTCTCCTTCACTTGTCCTTGTCTACAAAAACACAAGACTGTGGATTAATATGCTTTGGATAAGAAGGAACATGACAAAAATGATAGAAACGGATGAGTATCTCACCTTCCTCATGAGCACCGACTCAGTTGCAGATTGCTAATATCGAGAAATATGATTTTAGACGATTGAAACTTGTGGAACTTTGACATATTGCTCTTGTGTGTATGTGCAGTTTGTATGTGTGTGTTTGTAACCTCAGACTCCAGTGTGATGTTCCATAGGTCTTTAGTCCTCTCCTGATAGGTTTTTGTAATGGACACAGGTTGTGCGGTCGGAGTGGAGGTGAGTGGTTGGTCAGCTGGGATCTGTGGGCGGGGTTTGGGCGGAGCCACTGGGGAAATAACAGGTGTGGGAACTAGAGACAGAAGAAGAAATATTCAAGAAGACATGGTAACAGATGGACTGACATTAGAGAATATTCATTTCTGATGTCTTGTGTGATTCATACCGTAATCTTTAGGGGAGATGCCCACAAGTGTGAACCAGCCATCCTCCGCTTCTGTCTGCAGTTGTACTGGTTTTTTCTCTGGTACAGATGGTGTTTTTATTTTTATCTGCCTCCTCCTCTCTTCTTCCCTTCTCCTCTTCTCTTCCTCAGCCCTCCTGTCCACTTTAAGGACATCTGCAACAACTTTAAAGAGAGTAGAGAATAAGAATTTGTTGACAAAGACTGCCAGTTGTGTGATCATGTAATCTATCCCATTTATATGTTGTTACTTTGTATATTCAAAAAAAAACCAAAAAAAAAACCTACTTGACTAAAATTTCTACAAAAAAAAAACCCACTAAATATTTGGGGTTTAGTAAGATTTTTTTTTTTTAGAAAATAATTATATTATTCAGCAAGGACACATTAAATTGATCAAAAATGGCAAAATACTTTTACATTGTTACAATTTTACATTATTTTTCCACAAGAATATTAAGCAACTGTTTTCAACATTGATAATAATAAATTATTTTTGAGCATCATATTTGTATATTAGAATGATTTCTGAAGGATCATTTGACACTGAAGACTGGAGTAATGGTTGTAATGACATTTAAAAATTATATTAAAATAGTAAAAAAAAAAAAAAGAGTAATTGTAGTATTCCACAATATTACTGTTTTTACTGTATGTTTGACCTTAGTGAGCATAAAAAAATCTTACTGACCACAAACTGACCTGTTTCTTTTGGTGAAACATCAAAAAGAATGAACCAGTCGTCATCTTTTTCAATCTGAGGCTGTGCTTCTGTCTTCACAGTAACAGCTAGTTGAGCTCTTCTTAATTCCAGCTCCTGTTTTCGCTTCTCTAGTTCTCTTAGTCTCTTCTCCTCCCCCTCTCTCACTCTCATCTGCTGCTGTCTCACTCTTCTGTCTTCCTGTTCTTTCATCCTGCGCTCTTCAGTAGCCACTGCAACTGTAGATCAAAAGTATAAAGGTTTTACTAATTATAATATGTCTTTCACCTAAAGCAAATCAGACATGCAGCTCTTGTAATCACCTGAAGGGACGCTCCTCATCTCAGGAGGTGCTGCATCCAAAAGCTCAAACCAGTCATCGTCAACTTCATCAATGATCACTCTCTTTTCTTCAGTGATCAGTCTTTTCTCTCTCATCTGCTCCTCCACCACTCTCTGAACTCTCTGGTCTTTGATGGGTTCACGGACCTCAAAATCTCTGCCTCTGATATCTGAAAGAAGCACAGGAAACACTGGGGTTTGCATCATGAGAAGCTTGTGAAATTATTTGTACCCTAAATTTATAAAAAAAATGTAAAACTTGCATTTATGAGAAGCATGTATTAATGATTCTTAGTAGTCTTGAGTAAAAACATTTTAATTATACAGTTTACAGTAAAGTTGTATATGTCAATTTTAACACATAAGGTATCATGATTGTTTTAATATTCTTTGTTGAATATTCTAGTATACAATGCTAAAATGTATTAGTAAGTGGTTTTTAAGCCAATTCAATCCAGTCATTTGTATTTTTGTTGCTGTATGTTTGTGATAGTGTTTAGGCATGTCATGTGTGTTTCTGTACCTGATGGGAAACTCTTTTGCTCATAAGGAACTTTGTCAAAAAGCTGAAGCCAGTCATCATCAAAGTCTCTGGGCACAACTGGAAACTGTGGGGTTTGTATGATGCTTGTCCTCTTCTTCTCTGGTACTATTATTTGTTCTTTAGCGCTCACGGTCATCACCTCAATCACTTGCTCCTCTGTTCTCACTCTGCTCTGAATCACCTCCTCTCTGGTCTCCTCATACAGCTCAACAGTTGGAGCTTGCAGCTGTGAATACACCAAGGGCTCTGCAACAAATCAAACCCATGATGCGTGTTAAGATATGTGTGTTTATGTTTGTGTGTGTTCTTGACTGTGGTTGTGTGTAAGTGTTTGTACCTGATTCTTTAGGAGAAACGTCAAAAATGACGAACCAGTCGTCCTCCACGTCTCTTTGAGGTTGAGCTGTCCTCGGCTCAAGAATAACTGGCTGTGGCCTCCTATCTTCCACTGTCACCTGCTCCTGTTTCATTCTCTGCACCTCCTCTGTTCTCACTCTGCTCTGAATCACTTCCTCTCTGATCTCCTCATACAGGTTTGCAGTTGGACTTTGTAGATTTGAAAGAGTCAAGGGCACTGAAATGTATGATTTATGTATGATAAATGTATGATTTATGGTTTGATTTGTGTGATTGTGCATAATGTGAATGACTGTAACTGTGTTGCATGGAATTGAATTATAAATGCATTTTTTTTCCCTTTCAATTCCTGAACTGGAATTCAATTTGGACACAGAATTTGAATTAAAGTGAAACTGAAATGGAATGAAATTCAAAGTTATTAATGTAAATATTTAATAATATACTTAAAATTTCCCGAAACATTATATTGATTCATTTTAATTCAGAAATTCGTAAAATTTCATTTTTATGAATTATGGTTTCTGAAGAATAATCAGAATTCACTGAAGACTGGAGTAAAGGCTGCTTTGCCATCATATGAATAATTTACATTTAAAAAATATATTAAAATAGAAAAAAGTTATTTTAAAATGTGATAACATTTTAAAATATTACTGTTTTTACTGTATAGGCCTGCTTAAGTAGATGCAGTCTTGGTGAGCATAAGAGACTTCTTTTAAAAACAAATATGTACAGCACAACATATTTTAATGAATATATTTTTATAAGGTTAAACAACATGGTGGACATTTAGTGATACTTTGTGTCAAAAACAAAATCTTTAGAATGCTATGTTAATTGTTTTGACTGTGTATTTGACTTATTGATAAATAAGTCTTCATATCAGGGAAAATAGGCATAATTATTATGTTAGTCTAATACAGCTGTGTTTCTTTTCAATTCCGTAAATTCCTCTTTCTGTCACTTAAATTCACCTTACTTTGAGTCATGGCCAGTTCAGTTACAATAGTGTTTGTACCTGATCCTTCAGGAGAAACATCAAAAATGATGAACCAGTCATCCTCCACGTCTCTTTGAGGTTGTGTTGTCTTCTGCTCCAGAATAACTGTCTGTGGTCTCCCATAATCCATTGTCACCTGCTCCTGTTGTTTTATTTGCTCTGTTCTCACTCTTCCCTGGATCACCTCCTCTCTGGTCTCCTCATACAGCTCAACAGAGGGCACTGAAACAAACACAATCCATCATGCATATACTAATTTGTGAGTTTTACACGAGCGTGTGATTATGGTTGTGTGTGAGTGTGTGTACCTGATCTTTTAGGAGAACCATCCAAAACAACAAACCAGTCATCCTCTTTGTCTATTTGAGGCTCTGCTGCTCTCTGCTCAAGAACAAATGGCTGTAGTCTCCTATAATCCACTGTCACCTGCTCCTCTTGTTCTTTCTGGACCTCCTCTGTTTTCACTCTGCTCTGAATCACCTCCTCTCTTGTCTGTGTTTTTGTCTTCTCGGGTGTCACCAACTCTTGCTGTATTTTTCTTTCTACCTCTCTCTTCTCTTCTTCACGCTGATCTTCTTCAGGAGTGTATCTGCTCACATCTGGTTACAGAAACTCATTTTAGTGGTTGAAATTTGTTGAGAAGTAGGCTATTTTAAAATCCTATTTATGCATGTTTCTAGTGTTATAAAGAGCGGTCAGGAAGAACACATTTGCTCAGCTACTCACAGGGAAACAGATGCAACTTATAAGGAATAATGTAGACAGTCACTAAATGGACATGAAATATTAATTTCAACTTTATCTTTAAAATTATTTATTCACTTTTTAATATAAATGAGCTTTTTTATTAAAATAATCAATAATTTTCTTAGCTTTCACTTAGAAAAACTATAACGATATAGCGGTTTTGAAAAAGATTTCAACGATTCCTCTGTCATTATCATTACAGTTGTGGTGCAGTTCACTATTCTCATTGTAGGCTATTATAATGATTATTCAAACTTTTTTGCTATAGTTATCTTTCTTTGTGCGAACGGGCCTAAAGACCCTACTATGTGAGTATGCGTTTCCAAATTCAGGAGTCCACAGTGTGTTAAGAGATACATGAAAGTAGTTATTTTAGTTGGACGATGGTAAATATAATATATCTGACCGCTAGCTGGCGCAAAAAAACCAATCAGAATAAGGTATTTCAGAGAGCTGTGTAATAAAAGGTAAAGGTTTTTCATAGATACCTTGAAGGGAGCGCGATATTTCCATGGTTTTTGGAAGCACATTAAATAGAATGTACCAATCGTCATCTTTTTTCATTGGTTGGGGAATATACACTATCTGTTGCAACTCTTCTTGAACTCCTCCTGAAAAAATGTGATGTATGACATTCTCAGTTTTCACCTGAGGCATTTCAATTAACTTTGAAACTTAAAGCATTTCAAGCATTTGATGAAAAGCAATGAACACAATTTCTGGTGAGAGATGCACAGCTGATCACATGACATACCTGTGGGGGTAGCAGTGAGCATCAGTGGCCTGCGATCTAGTAAAATGTACCAATCATCTTTCTCCGCTCGTTGAAGCTCCTCCTTCTCAACTTGCTGCAACCTTTGTTCCAAACTTTCCACTTCCTGTAATCCAAACCTCAGCTCTTCCACCTCAACTAGCTTTTGCTTGATAGCATCCACCTCTTCTAGTCTCTGTTCCATGATTTCCAATCTCTCAAAAGTGTCCTCAGATCCCAATGTCTTATTTTCAGTGACTATTACACATCTTTCCACCAGCTCCACCCTCTCTATCTTTTTGTTTACAGCTTCTTGTGATTCCACCAAAGAGTCAACCTCCTGTGTCCACTGTTTAGTGATTACTACCCTTTGTATTCTTTCTCCATTGACTTCTAGTACTTCTTCCTTTAGTGTCTCCTTTAGAGGTTTCATGATTTCCTGTTTTAATTCAAAATCAGGAAGTTCTTTCTCAATTATGTCAGACCCCTCCTGGATGACCTGAACTTTACATGAATGTTTTATCACAAGCTCATCGGTGAGCCTCTCCTCTGACCCCTCCACAACTTCCACATCTTCTCTCCGTTCTTCAGTCTGAAGGGGCTGCTGGACGCCCAATAGTAAAACTGGAACAAAATGAACGAAAATCACCAATCACAGCTCTTTCCTTGAGGGAATGTCAAGTTTTAATGGAAACTAAAATATTTATTTATGCACATCAGTCCAGTGGGACTTGGACATTTCTTCAGGAGTGTTTTGGAAAATGTCAGCCCAGCTTGCCCTTTTATCCTTATGTCAACAAATTTACCAGGTGGCTTGACTTTTTGGTATGTGGTGAAGTGAGAAAGCCTAAGTTAGGTTCAAGCTCCAGAAATTGCATAAAGCCTATACCAAAATGTATGGAAAATTAGAATCAACAGGTTTCAAATATGTTAATAATCTATCTATCTATCTATCATCAGAGTCTGTGCCCTTCTATAATGTACACGGTGGTCTTTTGGCAGCGGTAAAAAGACTTACATGGGCTGCTGTCGAGGAGAACACACCAGTCATCTGGCTGATGCTTCCACTCCTGCAACTTCTCACTTTCTAGCATGACATCATCTGTACAGAATGTTTACAGTTCATCAGAAAATATTTTTTTAATATTTTCAAAAAGAAAGAGAAGGGAAAAGACAAGACCAAAAATTCTATAATGCAAATGACGTATGTGTATGTTTGAACACATGAATCATTAATTAAAATAAATTAAAGTATGTGTTTGACATGAGATCAAATGTATTTGTTGTCAAATGACAAGAGCAAATAAAAAAATTCTGCCTATTTATTTACTATACTCTGCTCATAAAAATGACACATTTATAAGGCAGTCAGTTTTTTTTTTCATTTAGATTATTATTTTAATTACTACTTTAATTATGTTAATATGCCTCACCTGATGTAGAAATGCGCCATTTATCTGGACCATAGACCAGGAACCAGTCATCCAACTCTGTTCGAACTGGTTGTTTTAAAACATCAAGAATTTCTTCATTTCCTGAAAATAGATATACCATTTACCTTTGTCCAACTAAAACTACTTGCATTTAATTAGTTAATCAGATAGATAGATAGATGCCTTTTCTCTTGATGATAAAACGTGTGAATCGTGGAGGAGCCCGGGTGATGTTGCCGCTGGCTTCCAGACACTCAGACTGAGTGCGTCCATGGAAACGGAACCTTGAACCCAAGGTCAGGAGCCTTTTTGTTTTTGTGTCTTGAAGTCTATTTCTGAGAAACACATTCAGAGGTATGGTCTTAAGTCATGTTTCTGAGCATGTTTTTACTATGTGTAATTCTTTCGAATACTGTATTTGCATATATTTCACTGGAGCGCCCCCTTGTGTTTCTAATGGTCATATATGGATACAAAAAATGCTGCGCCTTGGTTTTGTATTACATATACATGGACATACCTGAAGAAACTATGATGTTCCACACAGCATTTCCACAGTTGTTTGCAGGCTCGGTAGCTGGCCAAACTGAAGCTGATGGCACCCTCAAACTCATCCTCCTAAATCAGGTCACATGGAAAAATGTAACCCATATAAACCCGACAAAACTCCTGAGTTTGTCACTACACCAAATGAGTAAAGGAAAGCATAATCCAACACTAATGTAGAAAATAAAGAAGTGGGTTATGGAGAATAAAATGAATGTGCATGAATACCTCAGAAGGGCGCATCTTCAGAAGAAAGGTGCTGCGTTTGTGGGAGATTTTAAGAACTCTGGGCCAGAGGAAAATGTTTGTTTCAATCTCATCCTCATATACCATTAGTCCTTCAGAGCAAACGCCGAGCATCACATCTGCACCATTGACATCCTATGAACATATCAAACATTACATTAGCCTATATTAAAGACATACACCCAAAAATGAAAATGTTGTCATCTTTTATTTACCTTTATATTGTTTCAAGCCCATATGACTTTATTTTACCTTTAAGATGTTCAGAAGCATATTTTTGTTCATACATTGAAAGTCAATGGGGTCCAAAACAACATTGGACCCCACTAACTTTCATTGTATTGACAAAAATGCGAAGACTTTCTTAAACATGTCTTTTCTGTTCTGCAGAAGACAGAAAGTTGTAAGTGTATAGAAAAAAAAGTCTAATGTTGTTTTGGATCCCATTGACTTTGATTGTATGAACAAAACATTCTTTAAAATATCTTCTTTTCTATACAGTTATATGGGCTAAAAATGACATAAAGGTGAACAAATGATCCCAGAGTTTTCATTTTTGAGATGATCTACTATGAACACTTTCCAAATATTTTCCAAATTTGAGTTCAAGTTGAGTTCACTAAATAAAATTACTTTGGCAGGATGCAGGTCTACTCCATACATGGGGAACCCCATGGCGTTCTCAAGGAAAAGCATATCTGCCTGGGCAGGACTCATTAATCTGTGTAATAAAAGAAATGATATAAATGTGTGCAGTTGTGTATGTGTTAGAGGACATGTGTGAGTTTGATTGTTGGTATAGGATACCTGTATGTGGAATGCAGCTCCATTATTCTCTCCTCCAACTCTTCACTCTGATTGGGTGCAAGAACAATTTCACTGACATAGTTGTTCTGGTGGAGATTTGGGTCATATTCACCAAGTGTTGACTGAACTGTGTATGAACCCAACAGAGCTAGGATGTCTGATGGACAGAGCAGTCGACCAATCAGAATATCTTTCCTCAGCTGAAGACACAGGAGATATCTGAGAGAATTACACAGAACAGTGTGTTCAGTCAACACAGAAAGAAAAACATGCCCAGATGGACAGAACAGAGACGACACTTAAGTGTGAAATGCAAAAGCATGAGGAAACATTAGAAAATAGTGTAAATGAGTGAGATTTCAGTTGAGTGTTGAATATCTGGATGGTTCGTGTCTTATTGTACCTTGTGATGTCTTCAGCTAGAATGGAGGGATCAGGCGGGTAAAACTTGATGTTAAAAAAGAATTCCGTTTCTGGACCTGAAACCAACAAATAGGGAACAGATGCAGAGATCAAAACGCAAGAATCTTTACAGACCATTAATGAAATATATGTAAAAAATCACATACTTTTTATCTGTTTTCGGATCTCTTTAGCACAGTCTAGCCATACCTGAATTAATAAACACAGAATGATTACACTTAAAAAAATAAGCTTTTATTTATCAAATATTGAATATAATAGAATCATATGTCAGCCTGAGAAAAAAATAAATACCCTGGTACTAGGAGAATCCCACATGACCAGACCATAATAATCCCTCTCCAACAGGTCAAGGTGTTCACAAACTTTATTGAAGAGATCCTGTCCCAGTGCATTTCTCTGTGGAAGAAAGAGAGTTTTCAATTAATGTTAATATATATATATACCTTATTTATTCATTTATAGTTTTCTTCTTCTTGTAAGCATAAATCTCATTAATTATGATTGATTTCTACTTGAAAAAATAACTATTTGCCAGTTGAGTAAAAAAATAAGCTTAATTCATTATTACTATAAGATATTATATTAGGATATTATAAGATACATTATTATAATATCATTATACAGAGAGGTCTTTGTTCAGGTACCTCCAGCTCCCACATAAAGTAGGTGTCGTCCAGGAAATTCACTCGGCACTGCAACATGTCTCAGACTTTTCTCTTCTCTTCTATTTATTCCTCTGGTGGAGTAATTCAGTTGGCTTTGTCCTTTCCTCCACTTTAGGTATCAGGGAATAAGCTACAGAAGTTCAATTCTCTTCAGAACTGCACTTTAGTTCACATTCCTGTTACTGTTTCTATACTGTCGCAGCACACGTCTGTATGAGGCATCATAAGAGGCCCTGCCCTCCTGCACTGTCCCGTTTTGTGATAGTGCTAGGAGTGTTTTAGAAAGATATGACCCACCCCTCTCTCTGACACAAACACATATAAATACACGCACATGGCTGTTTACAGTTATGAGTGAGAGGGGTCAGTCATCACATGATGAACATGAATTTATTTGTCCATCATGACTGGAGAAAGAGGAGGCAAGGAAGGAGGAATCACTTCAGTATAAATGGATTATTTACAGTATTTAATGTGATGTTGCCCGCTCTTTCTGACTGAGATAAACTGATAAGAATGGGTGCGGTAGCGAAAACCTTCATGCGACTCTTTCCTCGCGCAACATCTTATGAGAAAATATGCGCACGGCAATACTGTTTATATGCAATATGATATGCAGGGCTTGAAGTTACCTTTTAAATAATCCTTGGTTTATATATATATATATATATATATATATAATGTTGTGGCTTAAGAAAAAAATTTAAGTTTTATTACAGTATGTTAATAATTTATTTGAACGTCTTGTGAGAATTCAAATATACTGAGGAATTTGGAAGATCCTTTGTCATTCACATTGTTGTGAATGCAACAATCAGCAATCATAAAATGTGACCCTGGACCACAAAACCAGTCATAAGGGTCAATTTTGTCAATTTTAGATTTTTACATCATTTGAAATCTAAATAAATAAGCTTTTCATTGATATGTGGTTTGTTAGGATAGGACAATATTTGGCTGAGATACAATTATTTGAAAATCTGGAATATGAGGTTGCAAAAAAATCTAAATATTGAGAAAATTGCTTTTAAAGTTGTCCAAATGAAGTCCTTAATAATACATATTACTTATCAAAAATTAGGTTTTGATATATTTACGGTAGGAAATGTACTAAATATCTTAATGGAACATGATCTTTGCTTAATATCCTAATGATTTTAGGCATAAAAGAAAAATCTATAATTTTGACCCATGCAATGTATTGTTGGCTATTGCTACAAATATACCCGTGCTACTTATGACTGGTTTTTTGGTCCAGGGTCACAAATGAGCATCATAAAAATGTATTTTAAAATTCGTATTTTTGTACTACATTTTTCTTTCAAGTTTCAAATAAACTACTTATTATTTCCTTTGCCTTATCCCTATTTAACAAGTCTATTAAATGTGAGGTGTTCATTGGTCTTCTCATAGCCCTCACCAGCCATCTGTGACAAGGGTGGAGGATCAACACAAATTCCCATGACGTTATTGAGAACTGTGCAGATGAAACCAGACCCAGTATCTAAAACAAAAATGAAAACATTTTCAACACTGTTTTGAACCCCTGTCCCCTCCAATAGCATTGCTAACAACTGTTTTATTATTTAGTTGCTAACTTCAAAGTGAAAAGCTACAGTCTCCATGGACAAAAATATTCCAACCACATATTCACTGATATGAGGGACACTAACATATGGGACTAAGCAAGCCTTTCCATCCGTTTATCCATTCTCTAAACCTGTATGTAAGGTCGTGGGGAGGTTGCCTTTCTATTTAACATTAAATACAAGTGCATTATATGTGACTCTGGATCACAAAACCAGTCTTAAGTAGCACAGGTATATTTCTAGCATACATTGTATGGGTCAGAATTATTGATTTTTCTTTTATGCCAAAAATCATTAAGATATTAAGTAAAGATCATGTCTAATGAAAATATTTTGTAAATTTCCTACTGTAAATATATCAAAACATAAATTTTGATTAGTAATATACATTGCTAAGAACTTCATTTGGACAACTTTAAAGGCGATTTTCTCGGTATTTAGATTTTTTTGCACCCTCAGATTCCAGATTTTCAAATAGTTGCCAAATGTTGTCCTATCCTAACAAACCATACATTAATGGAAAGCTTATTTATTCAGCTTTTAGATGATGTATAAATCTCAATTTAAAAAAAACTGACACTTATGACTGGTTTTGTGGTCCAGGGTCACATATTACTATATAAATGTGTCTTGGGCAAATGAATCCCAGAACAGTCCTCTGTCTGTTATCTCTCTCAGTGCAGAGGAAAGCATGAGAACCTCAGATAGATAACACTGTAACTGTCATATTTTTACACTTGTACAGCCTAAAAGTAATTTTAAGACCAGTGGCGGTTGCATAAATTGTTAAGACTGGCCACAGCAGTTTAATTACTTAAAAATATAGATTGGGTTCATTTGAATCAGAAAAGTAAAACTGATTATCCCTTGGCTAACTGCTAGTTGGTCAGACTAGTTATCAAGACCGTACTTAAGAGTTTTAACAAAGCGGCTGTGTTTATGCAACTGTCCAGCTGTCAGATTATTGCAAAATGAAGTAGGGTCCAATGATAAACTCTGTTAATTAAAGCCAACATGGAAAAGTACCTTTTAGTTTTCAATATCTCACATATGAGAGTCTGTTTCATGGTTGAAAAGGTTGAGTTTGCAGCAATACTGGAATACTTTAAACACTTCCAACAATTTATTCAAAACATGCACTTTCACTGTAATTTGGACATCAGTAGCTAATCTTAATGAGACTGGTGAAATCAGAGATTTTTCCCTTATTAACCAATGTCGTGTTCCTTTTTTGACTGCATGGAAGATAATAAACTAAAATGCTGCTGGAGACAAAATAAACACATTCAGTCTGATAAGTGAGATCATTTATTGTTATTGTTTCATAAAATTTTGGTTATTTAACTGTCACTCGCTGATATCAAAAGCTGTATTCTATATTATTGTAAATAACATGGCACAATTAAATGGCAAATAAAAACGGAAAACAGTCATCTTTAACTATTTCAAACAAAAAAAATGTAAAAATAAAGGTTGAAATTGAGTTGTTCTTGTTTAATTCATTTGTTTACCACTATCATTCAACAGTAGTAGGATTAAGTGTAAGTTTTGAAGTTGACTGATATAAAAGACACTCTGTACTGAACGATCAATAGTGTTTTAGCAGCAATGAAGATGCCATTCACATTGTGGAGGACGGAAAAAATACCTCCATCCTGACACAGGAAATCACACAAACATAAAAAAAAACATAAGTTTTAGTATAATATATCAGCAAATGCTGTGAATTTCTATTTCTTTCTTTGCCATTTTCAGGAATTTTCCATGTTCAGTGTAAGTTATTCACAATCAACAGAATTTGTGGCATAACGTTGATTACCACAAAAAATCATTTCAATTTGTCCCTCGTTTTCTTAAAAAAAGAAGAAGAAAGAAGCAAAAATCAAGGATCACGGTTATGTGAACGGGTCCAGTTTTTGGAGGATTTAAAAGTTAAAGTTTAAAAGTTAAAAGCTCATAATTTTTTTAAAGCACTTACATTCATTCTTCTTTTAAAACTATTATTTGATCTGTAACACTGCTTATATCATGATTTTACAGTCATTTAAGGGTTTTAGGGTTTATGGCATTATTGTGTCATGATGATGAAATTGTAAAACTGGATATTGCTTTACACAGAAAAGGTTAGTAAGTGATTTTTTTTCCATACTAAAATCATGTTAATAATGCACACTGTTTAAGTCTTGTGGCTATACTATCAAAAGACTGAGCATTTTCATGTTTATGAATTGGCCACATTCACTTTCCATTGTAAGTTTCTAACTGTAATTCTTTTCTTTTCTCTTTTTTTTTTAAAGAAAAAGAGGGACATGGCGAATTATGCCAAAAATGCTGTTGACTGAGATTAATTTGCACTGATTCCGAAATGTTCCTTGAATTCTGTTCAAAATAAGTAGCAACTTTAGTGAAGGTTTTAGACTCTTCAGTCTCACCAGGCTTAGATATAAAGCATATTTACTTATTGTTTGTGTATGGTCACTTTAGCAGGCAAGATAGTGATGGGTGTGCTCTGGAGGCCTGGGCCAAAGATGGGGAACAGCTTTTCATTGAACTTATCATTGTATGTACATAGGTGCTTGTTGTTGCCTGTATCCCAGAAGGACACCTCTCCCTTCTCCATATTGACCTTTACCCTGATGGTTTCAGGCCTTCTCTCTATACTCAGCTCAGTGCGTGGAGTGGTTAAGGCACTGTAGACTCCTTTACTCAGACCGATGGTCCACACTCCAGCTTTTGTTGTTACTGTGAACTTTCTCTTCCGAACCACTGACTGCTTGCATACTCCCAAGATCCATTTGGGGTGGTCAGCCACACGGACCTCCCAACGGTGGCGCCCTGAGGAGAAACCCTCTGAGCCAAGGACAAAAACACAGGGATCAAACCTCTCAGGGTTGTCTGGGAAAGTCTGTCTTTCCAGACTCTGTTGCACACTGGAAAAATCTGGAGATATGGAGAGCCAGGGCGAGACTGTGTTGGGATCCAGGATTACAGGCACTGCAGACAAAACAATGTTAGTGACCCACAAAGATCTCGGGGTTAATCTTGCATATATTTTAGACGAGGTGAAAAGTGCACTCACAACATGTGACATGAGTCAGCATCTTCTCCCAGACTTTGTAACCCAAAGCACCTACATGCAAGGCCATGTTGATGAGAGCTCCTTGAACCTTCTGTGGTTCCTCACTAGTCCACTGGGTTCTGTGACAGACATCAAGAGGCCATCTTAGCAAAATCAGAGTCACAAAAAAATTTGTGACAGATCTTGTCTGCCCAATATTGTGATGTACATCCAAAACAAGGCACGGAAAAAATGCAGGATGGGCACTTGGTTCTATGCATTGGTTGTTTGGATTTTGGAAAATTTCTGCATTTATCATTAGACAGAAGTCTTGTCATTTTCACCGTAAGGTCCAGTTATGAAATTTTAATGAGGTAAAAAAATTAAAATAAAAATGAAAAATATGCACAGATAAACTGTTCACAATAAATGTACGGTCATATTTACTGTTGTTTGCCCAGTTTTTTTGTGGGTGAAATCCAGTTTCAGTAGGAATCTACGCTATTGGAAATTTTGCATGAGGGCAAAAGATTTCCCAACTCAGATTTTGCAGTGGTTTCAAGTTGGTCATGCAAATTTGCCATGTGGACCAACAGAAAGTTGCTTGCTTTGAAAGTGACTTCTTTGTGAGCTTTGCAAAAGTACATGGATACTACTGCTAGGAAATGTGTTTCATGTTATTATTAAACTTGATTTCTTTAAAATGGGGCACTTCACTTGTGTGCTTTTCGTGGGCGAATGCCATGAATGTGCAGTAATGCACAACAGATCAACAGCCAGGGTCAGGATTTCCATAAATTAAATTTTTTTCTCACCAAACCCTATTGTATATCCATGGAGCACTTGAAATATATGGCATGAGTCACAAAGGATGATTCTGTGATCAAGTTTGTCTCTATTCACTATGGACAAGCATGAGCAGGACATTAATCATTGATTAATGACAATTTTCAATAATTTAAATAATTTTTGGATGAACTACCCCTTTAAGATGAATTAAGAAACTAGACAGTGAATTTTCATTTCATGTCGACTTTAAAAACATAATCGATGTGAAGAACAAAAAAATGCATCAGTGTGAGTAAATATGACTTATCTATAGTGGTATTAAGCAAGAAATTCATTGCAAAGCAGAACTAAGAAACACTTGATAAAATAAAAAGGCACATACCGTCTTTTTAGCTTCTGGAAATTCTGTGGAAGAAGAAAAGTTGACTTATAAGAGCTGAATGTGGGACATGTCTAATTTAGTTATCAGTTATGTTAAAGTGTGAGAAAACCCAGCCAGTATGAATATTCTACACTTGCCATATTTAAACCTAGGTTGAAGATATTTCTCAGCATTGCCCATTAAAAATGCAATTCATACATACAATGACTGGAATACACATCTAATATGATAGGCATGCTTTTCATTTTTGACAAAGTTAATTCTGATTTTTTTGGTAGGGGCGTGAGGCATAAACAATGACCTGACATGAATTTTGAAAGGAATTTGACACGACAGAATGAGCTGACATTTTTCAGACAGTGAATTTAAACTTATCATGAAAAGACTTTCAAAGCCATATGAAACCAACATGAATACAAAAAAAATAAAAAAGAATTTCGGCAAATGTGCTTTAAACTAGATTTTCCTTTTTTTTTTAATTATAGACACTCTTTTTTGTCATTGACCCACCAGTGATTAGTCTAGAGGATTCTGCCTGTAATCGATGTATTGAAAATAACACTTGATCAGACCTGTTAAAATATCTGGATGCATCTGTGTATCCTGTTTACAACTGGTAAACACAGAGTAAGTTTTATATATTTATTATTATCAGGGACACATACAAAAGTTATAAAAAAAATGTACCTGAAGGAAAGTCAAATCCTCAGCTCCCATTTCCCTCTTTACTGCCTGAATCAATTCGGCAAGAGCCGTGATATCACGACTGATGGTTTCAATCTTCTCATTCACCATTTGCTTCTTCTCATTTTCTTCTCTATACAAAGCATTTATTCTAGATGTCTCCTCATCACGTAAGACCTGATGGAGTCTTTCAAACTCCTCTTTGATTTGTTGCTCTGCATCCTTAGTCTGGCTCTGCAACAATGTGGAGAAGTAGAATGAGAATTGGTTCTAAATTATTAAGATTTCACAGCATTTTATGCGTTTGGCCTTCAAAAAGTTTTCGGAGACTGCTTACCTCAATAAAGGAGATGGTATCTTTATATCTTTTTTTCATTCTTTTGAAGGAGTCCTGCTTACTTTCCAGTATTTTGATTTTCATGTTAAGCTCCTCCTATAAAACACTGCACGTTAGAAATGTGTATTTCAATAAAAGGTCACTATTCATTTCAGTAGCTGTAACACGAAGTGAGTTGCTTTTTATACCACAATAGGGAAAAAGCAATGAGCTCACCTTGCAGAAAGGCACTCCTTGCTCAATAGGCACCAGCTCGTGTCCTGGATGAAGAGTCACGCAGTCGACGCACACGGGTTCCTCGTCTTTAATGCAGAAGAGCTGGAAGGGCCGCTGGTGCAAACCACAGATAACCTCATCTACACCAGTACCCTGTCCTCTCCAGTTCCTCTCCTTTTTATAGGACACGCAGGTGTTTTTTAGTGCGCGGTTGGGGATCGGTGTCTCTCCGTCGCAGCATTTTCGGCACATCGGGCACTGCCGTTTTGACTGGTTCTTCCAGCTGCCCTCCAGGCATTCTTGACAGAAACTGTGGCTACACGAGAGCAACACGGGTTCCTTAAAAATGTCTTTGCACACAGGACACGTTAAGTCTGACTCTAGAAGAGATGGCCTGTCTGTGATATCCTCGTCACTGTATTCTGCCATGTTGTAGCTACTTTCACTTTCACTAAACGGCAATATTTTCTCAGCAGAGTTTAAAAGACGTTTAAATATCGCAGAGCGATTTAAAACATTAGCTCTTCTCCGTTTAAAAAGTTAATTTTGTTGTTTAAAAAGAAAGAAGGAAGCGATTTGTTAAGGAAGAGACGTTCTACCGGTTTTCGTCTTATTTCTGTCAACTTCCGCGTTATATGATGAGGGAGCAGGGCTGCCAGGTTTTCACAAGAAAACCCGCCGAATCGCTACTCAAAACGAGCCCAACGTTCCATGGGGTAAAATACACGTTTTTTGGCGGGGTTCCCCTGCTAAAATTAGCATTGCAGGGGATAAATATCGTGTTATTGGAGTCGCTTCAACCCGCGGACATGAAAAACAAACCGCGGCAAAAGTGTTAAAGTAGCCCAATTCCGCGGGAAAACCGCGTACTTGGCAACACTGTGAGGGAGGGTGGGCGATAGAGAACTTCCGAGATCAGACGAGATCGGGCGCGCTCAGGTTGGTATGGCCGAAAGCAACGGCATAAAATAAAATAAAAGTACAAACAGTTAAACAAGTTTGTCTACATTTTCATCCAGAACTGGGTTGTCTTATCTCCACAGTTGACCCTCAGGACCATAAAAGGGACTTTTTTATTAATTAATTAATTAATTTATTTATTTTTATGGTATGGAGGACGAAACCTTCAAAAATGTAAATAAAAATAAATAAATACATACATACATACATACACATGTTCCTGCATAAATATATAAATAATTAAAGCTGGAAAACAAAATTAAACAAATAAATAAATTTGATAATATTTCAGTGTTCTTTTTTTTTTGCAATGACAGTTTTAAAGTACAGTATTTATTTATTTTGCAAGCAACACGTTGTCTATGGAGTAATTTAACAGAATAAGTATATTAAATAAATGTATAATGAAATGATTAAATTCGTAATGCAGTGCTGTAATAAATAAAAGTAAAATGAAATTTAGGCACAAATAAATAATGTATGATCGAAATACATTTATTTATTTGTAATATATTTTATTTTTTACATAATAAAATGTAGCAATAAGCATAAATAAAAGTAAGAATAAATAAATTGGGCGTAATGATCAACATGTACACGGTCCAATTATGTAAAATGATGCCTCAAATACATGCCTTGAAAAAAAAAGTAACAATTTTATTATATATTGTTATATATTTTAATTTTAGTTGTTTAGTTTAGTTATATTGTTTATTTTAGCCTGTTAAATCATTCCATACATTGTATCCATGTCTATATCAAGCTTGTTAATATTGTATTGACACATTATTGTATGTATTGTATTGGTTTTCGTCAGTAGATCATTAACAGTCCTTAGAAAAAAAAAAGTTTGAAAGCCCCTTGTTACATGGTTACATGAGAATGAAATGCTACTATCAAAAGACCAGCAGAGAACCCGTTCAGCATGCACATGGCAAGCCCTTTTATCTTAAAATAATCCCAGTGTTACTCGTCGTAATTGCATTTTTACTAGTAACAATTCAATTAGAGAGCTCTACAATTAAATTCTTAGTAACGATTATGATTATAGAGCTCTCTAATTCAATTTTTACTAGTAACAATTGAATTAGAGAGCTCTCTAATTGAATTAGAGAGCTCTGCAATTGCATTGTTACTAGTAAGAATTAAATTAGAGAGCTCTCTAATTCAGCTCTTACTAGTAAAAATGCAATTACAGAGCTCTCTAATTAAATTCTTACTAGTAAGAAATCTAGTCACAGAGCTCTATAATTGTATTCTTACTAGTAAAAACGTGTATTCATTAGATGCAAAACAGATTTGCAACTACATCCATTTGCCTTTCCAAATCCCGCCTGTGGTGATACACTTCAAAATAAAAGCCCCATAAGCACACTGTAAAAAATGATATGATGAAAAAGTCATGACAACTTATGTTTTCAAGTTACTTTAACTCATAAAAATAATTTAAGCCATTTCAACTTTTTTTTTATAAGTTATACTTCAACTTGATTTTTTAAGTCAGTTTAATGTTACTGAAATTCAAGGAGTCCAATTTAGTTTAGTGAACTTAACATTTTAAGTTCTAGCTTATTGGCACTAACCGGCCAGATCTCTGAACATGGATTCATGCGCAGGAGTCAAATTTGTACATGAATTAAATATCAGAGTCCTTTCCAAGAAAAAAAAATCAGAAAATCTAGACATTAGACCAGCGGTGGCGAACTCCGGTCCTGGAGAGCCGCAGCCCTGCAGAGTACAGCTCCAACCCTAATTAAAACTCACCTGCCTGTAGCTTTCTAGTAACCCTTCAGACCTTGATTAGCTTGTTCAGGTGTGTTTGATTAGGGTTGAAGCAAAACTCTTCAGGGCTGCGGCTCTCCAGGACCGACGTTCGCCACCCCTGCATTAGACTCATGTTTAATACATAAAGACATTGCAGTGCAACATCAATCAAGGAGACACGGGCAGACTATACAGCGAACTAACTAAATCGCGGAGGAACTTCAGACAAACAACTCATGAACTTGAGGAAGCTGTGCGTTCACTGGGCTGGCGCAAAGAACGTGATGTGGATGAGGTGAGTGGATGCTTGTGTAACAATTTTAGGGAGAAGATTATTGAGAAGTAGTGATGTTTCGTTCGTGAACAAATCGTTCTTTTTGAACGAATCTTTTAGGTGAACGAATCGTTCTCGTTCACGTAATCCATTGACTCATATTTCTCGTTCACTGATATTCCTCCCTCCAGAGCAGCGCGGCGCTATTAGCAGCGCATGCGCAGCTCGGTGAACCGGGTAGCTCTGAACTGTTTCATCCTGTCAAAGAACGATTTATGAATGTGTAATTGTCTGACCAAACAATTAAAATGTTAATTATGCAAGAAAACCTTGTGCTTTGGTCATCTGAACAACTTATTTAGACTTTATTTATTTAATGAGTAGATTATGCACACATTTTAATAAAGCCAAATCAGTTTTAGTAACAGGTGAATACGTTCGTTGACTTAAAACATAACACATGAGACACTCTTTTTCGCCACCTGCTGGCGTATTTATGTAATATGAAGTTGAGAAGGGTATAACTGCAGCCTGAAGATCTCCAAATGGGGGTGGGAACTCCAAAACGGGGTGGGAGCTCCAAAATAGGGCGTGGCTTCCTCCCATTGACAGACAGGCACATGACACGCATGCGCACTTTTTCCCCCAATCCCCTTCAGTGCAAACTCCGCCCCACAGCTGATTTTAAAGATTTTATTGGTTGTGTCAATTAAAGTGTTGATTTCCTACACTATGCAACAAAAAATGCTAACCCCTAAACCTACTCCACACCGGACCCTAACCTTAACCAGTGAAATTGACTGCACGACGGGATTGGCGCTGAATAGCGAGGTAAAGAAAGTTGCAGTTCAGGAGATAAACAGTTAATAAGATTATGCGATATGAGATCGTTCCGTAACTCCCCAACTGGACCTCACCGGACAATGGCACCTTTTTAGTTACACCCAGCATCACTACCCGCTCCTACCCCGGACGACCCCACTGCTTAGAACAAAGCGATAGAGATTAAAGTCTTTCCCCTGCACTGGGATGGCTAGCGGGAGAGCTCGGGTGAGTCCCGTTTATATCATTAAGCAGAGGTTCAAACTCCAGTCCGAACACCACTGGCCACGAGCTTTGGGCTCTGCTCTCAGGAGAATATTTATTTATATAGCATATTTTATTTTAGATGAACTAGAAACAATGTTTTATTTTGAAAGTTTTATTTTGAAATGTAAGTCAATAACAATTGGCAGGAGCCAGAGCCAATGGTGAAAGTCTTTGAGCGAGGAGACACCGCCCCATGGTTCTGCCCACTTTTGGAGTTCACGCCCCATTTTGGAGATCTCCAGTCTGCAGTTATACCCTTCTTTGGCCATTTTTCTACAGCAAGGCTTA